GGAGGGGATGATCCTGTAACACAACGTAACTTTTCTACAGCAGGAGGGAGGGGATGATCCTGTAACACAACGTAACTTTTCTACAGGAGGAGGGAGGGGATGATCCTGTAACAACGCAACTTTTCTACAGCAGGAGGAGGGAGGGGATGATCCTGTAACACAACGTAACTTTTCTACAGCAGGAGGAGAATATTTGGAGGTTTTATTCTCTCTATACATGTTTTAAAACACTAGAATTTCTTCATTATATTTTGAACTCCTGCTCAGGTGTCTCTGCGCTCGCAGCCATGCTGACACAGTTGTGATGATGTAATGACGATAGGACGGTAGAGTATAAATTACTACCGTAGGTCAACTTTATACCGTTCACATATACCGCGCAGCCCTACCATAAGAGTAGCAGTATTGATTAAATCTTAACGATACTCATCCCTAGTCACAAAATTTGTGTAGTGACTGAAAGAACAGATACAGGAGGTCGAAATGAGTTTCCTCTACATTGTAACTGAACTCTCCTAGAGATGGGTGAGAAGTTCAGTTATCTTGGAGAAACTCAGAGTAGAGCCGCTGCTCCTCCACATCGAGAAGAGCCAGTTGAGGTGGTTTGGTAGGACATGTTCAAAAGAATGGGCCAACACAGAAAAAAAACCTCATTATCAGGCCAGCATTCTGCAGTCTACACTCAACTACAGGCCAGTGGTCACTCTTTCAGGAACGAAGATGTTTTTATCCTTAATAGAGAGAAATGTTGGTTTGAGAGAGGCGTAAAGGAAGCCATTTTTGTGAAGAAAACGTGTCATTTAACAGGGGTGGAGGCCTCCTCTTACAAAGCTGTTGTTGCAAGTATGACTCTGTGAAACATAGGTGTTAAGCAGGTCCATAACGATCATCAGGCCTATGGTCCTGATGATCCTCTACGAACAATTTGTTAAAGTGAGGGTTCTCTTATGCATGTGAACGAACTGTTTTAATTGTCATTTAACTTGTTTGTCCACCATGTGGAGACACTGCTCAGGCTGAGCTTACCTGTATAACACCTCAGACTCAAGAAGTCTCTTGAAGGAGAGACGAAACGTTACATTAAATAAGAAGCTGTCCAGAGGACCTACTTAACATTTTTTTACATGGAGTACAGAGATGCATCAGGTTATTTGGAAGTAATTCCAATTCAAGATGGTTGTAGGAGCCATTTATCCTTTCTGGTGTTTATTGCCACCAGGGGGCGTATTTYATTTTGAGTTCTGAGTGTCTGATGGGGGGATGGGTTATTTAAGGTCAACCATGATTCTGTTCAGGTGTTGTTAATAGGTAGAGGCAAATAGTTTTCTACTGTGCTTGGTTTTGGATGTATATCGAATTTATGTGGATCTTAAGGGAAACAGTAAGACAATGGACACTGTACTGAAAATAAATGACTTTATTTTATGTCAAACGGAATATCGGCATGCTGAATCTTAATTGAGCGCACGTAAAACCAATGCCTTTCAAGAACAACCACCAGTAGCCTAAAATATAGGATTTTAGCCGCTACAATGGTCACTGCAGTTAATCAAACTTAGCAAACACAAAAATGTCTAAAACAGAGATTCTTGACCTATGGGCCGTGAGCGCCAGCTTGAGGGCCTCAAAAGAACAACAGTTTTTAACTTTGGGCCACAGAGGGCCGTGGGACCACATTGATTTT